TTTTTTTTAACTCATCATTCAATCCATTCCAGACATTTACTCCACACACTGATAAACAAAAACTCTTCCTGGTTGTTCTAATATGTTGTTTTTTTAAAATATCCTTCACCTCTTAAATTATAACCCCCCTCTCTGTCACCAAACATTTCCTGTATATTGTGTGGAAGTTTTTGATTTCGGACCTTAAACATGAATTGTGTAGTTTTAAATATTACCAGGTCCCAGAATTTCAGTATATTTGATTTGATGAATAACTGGTTTGTGTGTTCCCAGTATCCCACTTTATGTAGTATACGGATAGATTTTTTTTGCAAGACGTATAATGGCTGTAAATTTGTTTTGTATGTARTCCCCCAAACTTCCACACAATATGTTAAATGTGGTACAATGAGTGTGTTATATAGAATAAACAAAGATTTATAATCCAGGACTAAACTAATTTTTCTTACAACAGCAACACTTTTGGCTATTTTAGATTTTACTAGGCTGATCTGTGGTTTCCAGCTGAAGTTATCGTCTAATATGACACCCAAGAATTTTATTTCATGTACTTGTTCTAAATCAACACTTTCAATTGATATTTTAATTGGATCATTTTCCTGTTTTTTATTGTTTCTGAATATAATCAATTTAGTTTTATCTAAATTTACAGATAATTTATTGTTTTTGAGCCAATGCTGTAATTTTCTATTTCTGTGTTAACCACTTCTGAAAGTTGTTGAATGTTTTCTCCAGTACAGAAGATACTTGTATCGTCTGCAAATATAATGTATTTCATCAGGTTTGATATTTTGACTATGTCATTTATATACAAATTGAACAATTTGGGTCCCAAAACTGATCCCTGCGGAACTCCACAAGTTATGTTTAGTATGTTTTTGATTTGCAACTTGCAAAAATTTGATTTGTACGGAGCCCGCGAGGGGACACAGGGGGATTTTTTTTTCCTTTTGCGTTCCCACACAATACTTTTGCATTCCCTCGCAATTCTTTTGCGTTCCCACGCAATATTATTTTGCGTTCCCACGCAAAAGATGGTTTTGTATATGAACTGAATTAAATCAGACTTTTATTTTGAAATATCCGGTTACCAAAACAGGATGTGTCGCCACAAGTTCGTGTAATTGACGTTGATGTTTTTTGTGGCTGTACTGTGTTAAAATATCAGCAAATGACATACTTCTATGTGTGGCTGTACGGAAGCGTATTGCTATCACGCAGGAAAAAAAAAATCCGCTAGCGCTCGGATTTTTTTTTTCCTGCGTGATAGCAATACGCTTCCGTATGGCTGTGTGATATATTCATTCTGAAGTTGAATTAAAGCAGTAGGCTAACTCGCTAATGGTGAACATGTGACTTTGCTAATAAACTGGCAGGCACAATAGAGATAAACTACTTTTGCGAGGTAATGAAAAAGTATTGCGAGGTAACTCAATACTAATGCGTGGAAACGCAAAAGAAAAAAATATCTCCCATGTCCCCACGTGGGCTCCGTAGCTTTGTGCACCTGTGGTAAAAATTTCAGCTGAAAAAAAAAGTTTTATACAAATATCTTTTTTAATTTAAACTCACAGAAAAAAATGGTTACAAATATGTAAAATGACACTTTAGGCCCTGGAGCTCATCCTTAAATGTTTTTTTAATATTACTTTTACATTGGCGGCACGACGGCTCAGTGGTTAGCACCGACGCCTCACAGCAAGAAGGTCCTGGGTTCGATCCCCGGTTCGGACCTGGGGTCTTTCTGTGCGGAGTTTGCATGTTCTCCTCGTGCTTGCGTGGGTTTTCTCCGGGTACTTCGGTTTCCCCCACAACACAAAAACATGTACAATAGGTTGCCTTCAGGCCCAGGCCGCCCTTGAAAAAGAGATCTGAGATCTCAATGGGATTTGCCTGGTAAAATAACGGTAAATAAATACATATATTTTCAGTCATTTCAAAACTTTTACTTAAGCAAAAACTTGAGTTGATACTTTTACAAGAGTCTGATTAAACCCTGTCTATACTATACTTCTGAGTAATGAATATAAATACGGTACTTTTGACACTTGTTTGAACTTATGGCAACTTATGAAACATTTTTATCCGAATTGCTAATAAATTAGATAATTCATGAATTTGTTTGAATTACATTATGTACACACCAAAAAAAGCTTCCTGTTGATTTTTTCAATTCCATATTCAATGTCGATGTCTTTAAAATGTTCATAAGTTGGCAGAGGTTGTCTAGTGCGACAGGGCCTTACTTAACCTTAAATTATAGACCAAAAAAATACACACAAATTAATTACAACTGTAACTTTTTTTTTACATCAGTAATTTATTTAACCTCACTTTCTGCTAACCAGAACATTTGTAATTTCCTCAGCTTTTTTTGAAACCATCATTTATTAAAACCGAGCAAAAAAAATAAGAATACAACAACAAGTGTGTCTCTTCAGGACAAAGCCTCACAGACAACTAGCTGATGTTCTTCAGTGTATAACGTAGCTCCTGGGTACAAACATCGTTGTAGCTAGCAACCAGCGAGCCAAGTCCAATCCAGTAATACAAATCAATGGTCATGTGTTTCTGTCAGTGACGTGTATACACTGACATTACACACACACTGTGTAGATGTGTAGGGGGCCTTGATTTGTCTCTCCATCAGTTTGGGAGTCCCGGACTAAAAAAACGTCCTTGGTTTAAACCATTCCAGTAACAAAACCATGTATACCGTAATAGGTTCATAAATTATTTTAGTTAAACATTTTTGTATGCATCTTTATGCTCACTTTATTACATAACATTTAAATTCATTTATTTTATAAATGTTTTACACATCATGTGATTCCTCTCATTAAGTCTATGACCTGTTTGTATTTCACAACCAGCCCTGCCTTTGTGAGTTCTCCAAGGCTTCACCATAAAGCCAGCTATGTCTGAACTCCTGACTCTTCTCCATCAGCTGGAACAGTCGAAGATAGTCCTTTGGGAATACGTTGCCTGTACAGATGTCCTCTGGCAGGTTTAACTCTGATAACAGCTTACTCCCACTATCAGGAGACCAGACACTAGAGAAAACACACAAAGAGGAACTCTAAGCAAAGATGACAGGAAAGGATGAAATCACATTAACTCTATAAACTAAGCCTGTGGTTTAATGTAGCATGGTTGTACTTCATGTGTGCTCCAGACCTATCAGAAGTTTTGTGTAAATTTCTTACTTGAGCATGTCAATGAGCTTGGCCTTCCTCTTCACCATGCACTGTTTCACCATCACCAGTAGGGTTGAAGCACTGGAGGGATTTAGGCCTGCAGAGAAGAGGTCTGCACGAGGACGCAGCCGCACCAGGCACAAGCGCTTGCCTAAAAGCTGGGGGGGTGGAGGGTTGAAGTTGTAAAACAAATTGTGTTTACGCAGCTGTTATCAAGCCTGCTTGTTTTTTTTATTACCTTTCTCTTAAAGCTAGGGCTATTTGATGTTGAAGACACCACAAATGATTCCCAGGGTTCCTGCACAAAAATGAGGTTGACTTTAGGTAGAAGACAAAATCCTAATATTCATTTAATAAAACCAGTAATTTTACTATAAATAAAGGCAACCCTAACTACTAGAGATGCACCAAATTATCGACCTGAAATCGGTACCAGAGGATTTTCACCTCATCTTTAAAGTGCCTGTGACATGTTTTTTTCTTCAGTTACAAACAATTTAAGAAAATATCCTAATATTTTATAAATTTGGCATCATTCATATGATTTTTACAGTTTATCACAAAACGTGCATATTTTTTGCTAAATTTGGTGCAGTCCAAGTGAAACAGGAAGTGGATGTCAAAGGGGAACCATTTAAAAAAAGAGTAACTTCCTGGTTTTTATAAATCTGAGGCTGTGTTTAAAACGGCAGGCCGGGTCCTCTGAAGGCCAAATTTGTCGGCTGCATACGTCACAGCGCCGCGACGAAGGACGTCCAAAACCGAAGACTCCTCCGATGCGGCCGACAAATTCGTCCTTCCTTTGGCCCAAATCGAAGGACAGGTCCGATGGATCCTTCCCGGCCCAACATATCCCATAATGCATTGAGGCCCGACCGGAGATTTTTTTATGCTAGTAATGGCGGACGAAGCGAGAGAAAAGATTATGTTTTAAATAGAAATATGGCGATATAAAAACTAGTTTTCTAGCAGTTGTAATTCTAATACTTTTATCAGTTGTATAGACGTGTTTTTAAATATTATTTTTGTCAGAAAAAAACGCGAAAAAAACATGCACATATGGCGGGTCAATTAGTTCTTCAAATGTTACCTTTAAGTTAATTTTATTGTTTTGTGGTATTAATAATGCTAATACATTGATATTTTTCTAATTTTGCTTCTGTTTAGCGTCGTTATAGTTGCTAGGTGATGTGACGTACGCCAAGGTAAGGAGGGGAAGCTAGACTGTCCAAATTCACAGACGCTTTTTTCCCCGGTCTTCCCAGTCCACCAAGGGTAGACCGGGCTGGGTCCTCTGGAGGACCCGGCCCACCGTTTTGGACCCAGCCTGACTCTTCTTTATCTGATAATGACTTAAAATAATCTACAGAAACATCTGATTCTTTGCAGTCTGTCGTTAGCAGTTGTAACAACTCATTCAGGCATTCCCCTTTGACATCACTTCCGGTTTCTGCTCGTGCGAATATCTCAACAACTGTTCATTTCAGTGTCGTGAACTTCTGTTTGCAATTCACCATGAATGTTATCTTTCCAAATATGCACTCAAATATATCACTTAAATTTAATGTCACGGGTCCTTTAAACCATCAATACTGAGAAATCTGACATTTTTTCAGTCTGTGAATGCACCGTCAGCGCAGCTTTTGGACCCTACATTTATTTTATTGTAAAATATCTCATCTTAGTAAAATTATTTTTTATTTATTTGAACAGAGATAAGGCCTGTAACCTACTAAGCTTTTATGGTCAGTATCTGTTTATTATTATTATTATTATTATTATTATTATTAATAATAATAATAATAATAATAATAATAATAATAATAATAATAATAATAATAATAATAATAATAATTCTGTTATGTTTGGTCACATTTTCAAAGAGCCACTGCAGAGGGACCAAAGAGCCACATGTGGCCCCAGAGCTGCAGGTTGCAGACCCCTGAGCTAAAGCAAAGGCGATTTTTAGGCCTAAGTTTTAGTTTATTGAGATAACATAAGGCTTCCAATCAAATAGGTACTTTTTTGCTTTGAACTGAAATATTGTGCTCAGAAGACGGCGAGCGAATGCTAGCACATTAGCCCCGTTTTGCTACAGAAGTAGACAGCAGCGCTCTTAAAAGCAGACGCTCCAATAGTTTACTAAAAGAAATAGACAGAATACAGGTATCAGGCTCTAAGAATTTGTTGCGGAGCAATGAAAACAACCCCAGTATCAGCTTTACAAGTTGAAATGGCTGAGATGCCACCAGAGCTCAGAAGAAAACAACTAACTATAAACTATTGGGCAAATGTTAAAGGACATAAAGAAAATTATCCTCCAAATGCTATGCTACAACCTTGTCAAGAAAAAGTAAAGAATAAGAGAATTAATAGTTTTGGACGGATTATAGATGATGAGATAAGTAGGTTAGGAATCAATCATTATTTAATTAGTCCTGTGGTGAATATTCCTGATAATCCACCTTGGTTAAGTGGAAAACCTGAAGTTGATTTAAGCTTATTGGGAAAAGGTAGACAAATAGAAAAAAAAAAGAGGTGGAAAGGTATATAAATAAAGAATATGCTGAATATTTACAAGTATATACTGATGCTTCTAAAATGTTAAATGATAAAATTGGAATAGCATTTATAATTCCTGACTTAAATATTATGAAAAATAAAAGAATAACAGATAAATTGACAGTCTATACAGGTGAGTTAATGGCAATATTAATGGCTCTAGAATGGAGTGAGGAAATGAGAAAGACGGAGAGATTTGTTCAGATTCAAGTAGTGCATTAATAAGTATTTTAGAACAGAAGTCAGAA